ATAGAATACTAACCATGACAACCGATAATAATTAGACTTCGGTTAACGTATAGAATACTAACCATGACAACCGATAATAATTAGACTTCGGTTATCGTATAGAATACTAACCATGACAACCGATCACCACAACTTTAATGTAAGCGTTCCAGTTCTGGACTGATGAAATCTTCAATTGTAGAATATCTGTTTAAAACAACAGTTTAACCTTTAATACATAACGGCAATTCTGAACATTCGTTTCGTAAAACTCTAATGTTCTCTCTTTTAAAGTAAGCTTCTTTAAATGATAACTAATGCAGATGAAAGCAACTGATGAAATTTCATCAGTTGATAAAGCATATTGTAAGTTTTTTCCCAGTTTCTTCTTTCATCCTTTTAGTTCCACTCCCATCGTTCTAATTCATTTATTTAACATTTTATACCTAAAATCTATTTCATATCACTTTCTTTTCCATATTTAACGATCTAATTCCCACTTTCTTTCTGTATCTTTTGCTTTCTCTTCAAGTTTTAAGTTGAATTAATATTCCCAATTTTCTTATTTTTTCGGTTTACGTATCTCAGATTAAATCTCTGAATTTCTGATAATTTTCACCGTTTCCGAGACTGAGTGCTAACGTAAAGTTTGAATGTTCGATTTTCTTTCACGCAAAGGTATGAAACTAAGGTTAGATATCATCCCCTAGTTACAAAGTTATGAAACTGAGGTTAAGCATCATCCCCTAGTAACAGAGTTATGGTAGATCTAACTTCGAAAAAGGAATTATTATTGTCATTATTCCACTGAGTTAACATGCCAGCGGGCAAAAACCCCCGAGGAATGAACAGTGGATGCTCGGAGTGTGTGAACTTGCGCGGAGTGCAGCTCTCATACCTAAGCCCAGTAGTAGAAAAACTCGTCTTTCCCGTCATAGGTAACTAACTAGTGTCAGTCAGTATTAACCCCAATAGAACTTTGGTGGGACATACATGCTTTCGTCTGATAACGTGGCGTAGTAATTTTGTCATTTTTGAACATTGTTGGCTACGTTCAATTTACACCCGGCTTCCACGTGGTGGTACTTTTCTTTGGATGAGAACCCAACTGTTTCCTTTCCAAACACCATTATCGCACCAAAATGTAGCGTCACATTTGCAACTGTGAAGTACTCCAGTGTTATCAGAGGTTGGAGTTCACTTTTTTGAAACTAAACATACGCCAAAACATAAGTATAGCGTGCTTTACACTGAACTTTTAAAACTACATAAGCTATCTGGCTTTAGGGTATTAAACTAACACTAAATAACTTATTCAAAGACACAGCACGTAGTTACTGGGATCAGAATTATAAACGGACTTTTCTCTACGTTAAAATACTTTTATTGCGAGTTTCGGTCCCTCTTACCAGAGCCTTCATATAGCAACAATGCTATAAAAACTCACAATAAATATGTTTTAACTTAGAGAAAAGTACGTTTATAATTCTACATATTAATTTACCTAAGTTGTAAGTCTTAAACAACAATTATAAGAATGTCTCAATTCGTTAACGTGCATGTCTTTCAGATCCCCGTAGAATTTTTACATTCATTGAAACGATTCGAGAATTAACACTAATAATATATGCATTAAAACCTTTCTTATTTGTGCTTTTTATATTCTTTGAATATGATTAACTATTTTATATTCAAACAAAGGCGGTTATTCACAGCATTGACAAGAAAACTGATTATATTTTAATAATTTCACATATTTAACATTAAGCTATTTCTACACAACTCATTACGTTAACTAAATAAAGTATTCTGTCTATACAACTGTGATCTATCTTTTGTTTCCAACCATTTCTTTCTCTCTTTTTTTAGGGAAAAATCAACGCCTGTCAGTAGACTTATACAAGGGCGTCATTTGGGGACCAAGCTCGGGCAGGAGCATCAAGTGGAATTTTGGCAGGATGGATTATCACATTTACACGCATTACACCATAGCATACGGTCACCAGCTGAACTGTGGGCCCATGCGAGGTCACCCCTCTAAGCTTTTTTGTGAAATGACTGGACTCTTTGCCTTTCTTTGGGCCTACACAAAGTAAGGTGTCTAGCGGTGATAAAAGACATCTACGTGAATTTCTTGTCTCGACTTAAATAACATGTATTCAATAAGTTAGTATAAGAAAGAAAAGTGCTTGGTAAGTTTGAGTTGAAAGGAATTTAAACAACATCAAGTGCATAGTAAATTTGAAGCTCAAGTTATTGCAAGAATGTCAAATGCTTGAGAAGCTCGGAGTTAAAATTATTCTAACAACGTTATGTGTTTGGAAAGTTTGACCGTTAAAATTATTCTGAAAATATCATGTGTCTGAAAATTTTGGATTTAAAATTATTCTAACAATATCAGGTTTCTGGAAATTTTGACCGTTAAAATTATTCTGAAAATATCAAGTGTCTGAAAATTTTGGATTTAAAATTATTCTAACAATATCAGGTTTCTGGAAAGTTTGACGTTAAAATTATTCTAATAATATCAGATATCTGGAAAGTTTGACGTTAAAGTTATACTAACAATGTCAGGTGTCTGGAAAGTTCGAAATTATTTTGACAATATCAAATGATTTAAAAATTTAACGTTCAAATTATGTCAAATGTGAAGAGATTTGAGACAGAATGTATTCCAACAAGAACAAGACCTAAATAGAAGGTGAAGAGTCGGATTTTGTTTATTGTCCTCTTCTTGGAAATATATGTTGGTTGAAATTAAAACTTATTCTCAGACTACCAAAAGCTTGGTGAATTTAATATTGAAAATTATTTCAAGAACGCCATCTAACCAGTAAATTTGATAGTTAAATTTTCTTTAAGAATGTTAAGTGCTGGATAAGTTTGAAGTTAAAGTTCTTATTCTAAGAATGCCAAAAACTCGGTAAGTTTAAGATTAAACATTGTTCTAAGAATATCAGTGCTCTATATATTTGATAGTTACAAGTACTCTAAGAATACCAAGTGCTTAGTAAATTTGATAGTTAAAATTATTCTAAGAATGTAAATGCTCCGTAAACTTGAAGTTAAAGTTTTTGTAGAATGGAAGGTGCTTGGTAAGTTTGAGGGAAAATGTTATATTTTAAGAATATCAAATGATCGGTAAGTTTAAAGTTAAAAGTTAATCTAAAAATGTCACTTTAAGGTAATTTTAAAGTTAAAAGTTATTATAAGGATGCAAAGTGCTTTGTAATTCTGTGGTTAAAACTGTTTCCAGAATATCAAGTATCCGATAAGTTAAAGTTATTCTAATAACGTCAAGTGCTCAATGACTTTGATAGTTTAAATTAGTCTAAGTTATGCCAAATGATCAGTTAGCTTAAGTTTAAAGTTTTTTTAAGAATGTCAAGTGCTCGGTAAGTTTGAGGTAAAATTTATTCTAAAGATGTATGTTGGTACATAGAAAACTAAGAACTTAAACAATTTTATTAATCTCAAAGGCTATGTTCTTTTCCACATACAGTGCAATAATATTTTAAAAAATCTTCAGAATTCCATTAATTTATAAAAGTGTAAATTTTCTGTAAATGAGTTATATAATTGTAAACCCAAATAACGTTTTGGCTTCCCAACGACCGTCTCAACAGTCCGATCGCACAGAAATCCGTAGGCGCTACATCCAGCGACTTCACTGTCATGTGTTCGCGATGGAATAGCAAAAATGTCAGTTTCATTCTCTAGTTGCTTGAGGTATATGACAGTTGAACGGACTTGTCGTGTAAACACTTGTCTACACGTGACTTGAGTCGCTTTTCCAGGCGGAGATCCTTCTTGATAATTTGGACTGTTGCCTGGGGTATGTGTACCGCTTTTGCTACTGATTTTTGTGTTCGTGGATTCTCACTTGTTACAAGACGCAGCACTTTGCTTACGACGGCTTGGGTATGACTTGTTACAGGTCTTTATATGGATGGTTCTGGGACCTACAATGATCCATATTCTTGTTTGACAATACCACTAAGTACAAAGGATATATATATATCCCGTCTTGAAAATTCTAAATCCTCGATCTCAGCACATCTTTATTATACGAGTGTATGTAGGGATGGTTAAAGTATTCAATAGGCATAATACAGAAATATAAGTTAAAAAGTCAACGGTGACAAATAGTTTTACCTTCAAAGATGAATTTTACTCAGTTTCATTTGTTTCTCTGCACAACAAGCCCCAAAACAAGGCCAGAAACCATCGTTAAGATACCATACCAGAAAGTGACCAACCCACCAAATTGTTCATCTTTCTTCCTCTTGTTTCAGTCCAGATAACTACAACTACTTTATCACTAACGTCAGTTTAAACCTAAATCAACTCTACGTGTTTCTGGGTAGTGCGCGATGTCATCGCTTAGT